GCTTCTTCGACCATGAGAAGACCCCCGAAGGCCACTGCATGAGAGGCATTCTGATAGTTCCCGGCCAGCATGCACGGTTGGATAACATTGACGAGCATGGGAAATGGAAAGAGGATGAGACATTCTTCTACATGGGTCAAGAGAAACGCCACATCAGAGGTGAGAGCTGCGGCCGAGCTCTCATCAGCTGGCGAAAGCTGCGAGATGAGATGCCACAAGCATTCCGGCATTTCTCCGTCATGAGCCAGCCTGCATCCAACAGTGATGGGATTTGCCTGCCATGGGTCATAAAGGATCAGGCTAGGCAGTTCCCATTGAGTGTGTGGATGAGGGATGCGTATGGGCCTGCATTCACATCAGATACGGTCAAGACCCTCTTCATGGGGCATCAGGTTCAATCGAGCATCATGCCTAAGATGACATCAGCATTACAGCTGACTGACACAGATTTCTCACATGCCTTTAAGGCATCAGTGAGAAGAGCCATCGATGAGCAGGGCATGAGGCAGGCGGCTCGCCGGAATGAGGAGGATGGCCACCATGAGCAGCAGTTCCCGAAGATGGGCATCAAGGAAATGGCATTGGCCATCGACGCTGCCATGGAGCACATGATCCAGATGAATGAGAAGACGGAATGGGTCTTGGCTGGGCTCCGCCGCAATGGGTTCTTGGCCCTGAGACCTGATGAGCATGGCAAGATGAGGAAGTGCGATCACGAGGCATGGGCCAAGGACAAGCCATTCATCCGACATGGGTCGCCAATCGGTACCAGCATGAGAACAATGGAGACATTGAGAAACCCAATTGGGCTCGCATTGAGGGAGCCACTGAGTTGAGTGACCTGGCCCATTGGCACTCTAACGATGGGTTCAAGGATGCCCCAAGCTGGGAGGACATCCCATTTGATGACCATTCCGAGCCCGAATGGTTCATGTGCGCCCAGTTCCAGCTGCCATTAGACCTGAGAAGGGCCATGCTGGCTAGAGAGGCGACCATGAGCGATGAAGCCAAGGCAAAGAGGGAGAAGAGAAGAGAGAAGAATAAGACCAAGCGGCAGAAGAAGCAACAGGAGCATCAGCTCACGGATGAGGTCCGGGAGGAGCTGAGAGCAAGCATGCAGGAAAACTCCAGGCTCCTCGCTCTTCCTACTTGCCCTAAACCCCCATGAGACTCTCCTTCTGTCATGCCACCAGCCAAGGTATGCAGCCATGAGGGATCTGCCATCATCGGCCTCCAAGAGAGGCATGCCGAAGGCCAAGGCGAAGGCGAAGGCCAAGCCCGAAGCCAAGGCCAAGGGCATGAGATTGGCCAAGATGGGCAAGATGGCCAAAAAGCGGCATAAGAAGCAGCTCAAGAAAGACACATTGAGCAAAGCGGTGGATGAGCTCCCTGAGCCGCCATTGCCTCCGCCACCCGGCCCACCAGCTATGAGTGCTGACACTGGTGAGCATGACATGACCAAGGGCACATGGAGGATAGTCAATGAGGCCTGTCGGTTCGAGAGAAAATTAGCTGGTTGAGCAAAGCCCATCATAAGCTCTCCCTAGCCGCAGGACGCTGGCATTTCGCTGTATGGGCGGCATGGGTCCATTCTGGGTGTCGGCCGTCAGAACTGCCACATGCTGCTGGAGAAGGACCATTTCGTCCCCAAGCAGCAGAAGGCATGGGTCAGCAAGAGCCATTGTGAGCGATTGCCAGAGGGTGAGCATAAGGTGTGGAAGTGGGCCCAGATGAGCTTCTACAGGGCCTGGAAGCAGGAAATGCTGCTTGACATGGGGCTCTTGAGCCAGGACCTGGATCAGCTGGATGGGCTTGAGCAGGTTCACATCCTCCCATACCCAGACATTCAGGCCGGCGGCATAGAGCTGCAACATCTGCATTTGGGCTGGCGAGTCCTGCTTTGGCACATGCTCCAGAGCTCAATGCAAAGCAAGAGCATGGGCTTCATTAGTCCTGGATGGACACAGCCACTATATCTGCATCATGACAATGCCAAAGTGGATGTGGATGCATTCATTGAGTGCATCAAAAAGCAGATGAGTGCTCATACACTGAACTTCCTCCCCCTGGGGTCTGCTGCGCACTGGGTTTTGCTCGTCATAGATGCGACACATGAGTCTGAGACCCCGAAAGTGAGGCACACCATGCTTTTTCCTCCTTTTCCCTATTATAAGGCAGAGTTGTGCATGGGGACTCCTTATTTCGCATTCGCTCGCAGAGCCAGCCCTGAGGTACTATGACTCCCTGCCGGATGAGTCCCAGCGATGCAGGGACTACGCTGAGAAAATCTTGGCATCCCTGCTCTCCATGGGCCTGCTGCATGAGGCAGTGCTGCCTCCTCGCAGCAACAAGGTCTTCCAGGGAGTCGATGAGTGCGGATTCCATGTTCTGGCTGCCATGGAGCAAGAGGCCGCAAAAGCCATGGGGTTTGGAAAGGCCAGCACTGGGTGGCCTTCGCATTCGGCGAAGAAGTGGCATGAGCGGCTGCATAAGGTCACAAATGCTCTCCGCACTGAGCAGACCAAGCGACTGGATGAGCTGAACCAGCATAAGAAGAAGGAGGAGGCCTTGGGAATCAAGATACTCGGACCTTTAGTACTTAGGCCCATTTTCCCTTTTGCAATTAGTCTTCCACATACAGGGACCCTTTTCTTCCTGGGCTTCCCAGGATGAGAAAAGAGCGAGAGCACATGGCGGCCATGGCTGAGAAACGCATGAGCAAAGGCCTTGAGCTGACTCAGCTTCAGAAGATGGCCCATGAGGTCATTTGCCAAGGCAAAGTCCTTGAGATCGAGGACATGCCCCAGGCATACTGGGATGAGAGAAATCGAATCGAACTCCATGAGATTGGAGTCTGCAGCCGCTGCCGGCATGCCTCAGGCTGCCTGAGCTGCGATGAGGGTAAGCTCCTCGCATACTGGATGAGGAAGGAAGCCCGCAGATTGGGCAGGAACATTGCCCCTGAGTACAAGCTCAGCTCTGCTGGACATGAGCTGGTCAAATGAGGAAAAGTCTGCCATTATGAATGCCAGTCCGGGGCTAACCGGGTCCTTTCCATTATGGAACCGGGTCCTAGGACTTATTATGATGGATGTGACATGGAATGTAGCAAGACATGTGTTCCTGTGGCTCAATGGAAGACATGCTGGACATGTGAAAACTTGTGTTGTTCTTGCGGCTCAATGGAAAAACAAAACCTGAAAACTTGGTCTCTTCCAAATGGAGATGCATACCTGGACATGTATAAAAATATGTGTGCTTGTGGCTCGATAGAAAAATCAATGCCTGAAACTTGGTTTGATCGAAATGTGAAAACATGTACATCGAAAAATCAAAGCCATACTGACATAATTGCCTGTCCCAAGTTTTGTAGTTCACATGGAATTTCTTTGTTGCAAGATATTTTTGAAGATTAAAATATTTTGAAGATTCGTTTGTGCCGAGCAAACCAAACAAATGCAACTTGGTGTTCTTGTGGCTCAACAAAAACAAGAAACTTAAAATTTTATGTTCTGAAACCCTAAAGTCAGCTTTTTGTACGATTCACAACGACTTGAAAATTAGCATGTTCATGATTAAACATGAAGGGAATCTGAACTTTCGTAACGTCCAGCCCATGCCCTAAACCCTGAACCCTAAACTCTAAACTTATCCAACCCCCAAACCCGCCCATCCATTCAAGCCCAGAAGCTGCAGGTAGGAAGGGGCACACAGGTAGGTAGAGAGGTATAGTTAGGTAGGCAAGTAGGTATGGATAAGTAGATAGGCAGGAGTGAAGGTACTTGTAGGTGTAGGTGCGTCGGCAGGCTTCCAGGTCAGTAGGTAGGTAGATAGATAGCTAGGTAGGCGGGCATGTAGGTAAGGAGGCATTATGAGGAAAGAGGTTTTAAACCCCTAAACCCCTAACCCCTAAACCCCTGACCCCTGAACCCCTAAACCCTGAACCCTAAATCCAAAACCCGAAACCCTGAACTAACCTTCAACCCTAAGCCCTAAAAGGTAGCAGGCAAAAGTAGTTGTAGGCATTCGTGCAGGCCCTGTCAGGATGTCAGGTGGCCACAGCAGGAGTCTTCGGAGCCCCGTACAGGTACCCGCGCCAAGGCCTGAGTGGGCCGCGGGATGAACCCCGAATAGGGGTGAGCTTGGACCCCGAACAGGGGTCGTCGGAGCCCCGTACAGGGGCGTACCCGCACCAAGGCCGAAGGGGTCTGCGGGATGAACCCCGAAAAGGGGTGAGCCTGGACCCCGAACAGGGGTCGTGAGAACCCCGTGCAGGGGTGTGGATGAACCCCGAACAGGGGTGAGCTTGGACCCCGAACAGGGGTCGTTAGAGCCCCGCACAGGGGCGTACCGATGAACCCCGAAAAGGGGTGAGCCTGGACCCCGAACAGGGGTCGTGAGAACCCCATGCAGGGGGGTGGATGAACCGCGAACAGGGGTGAGGATGAACCCCGAGCAGGGGTGAGCCGGACCCTCAAAGACTGATGCAGAGAGAGAGAGGGAGAGAGAGAGACACAGCGAAAATAATTAACGAAGCAAGGAAGGAAGCAAGGAAGGAAGGAAGCAGGGAAGGAAGAAGGAATGATCAAGATGAGGGTGTGACTGTAGATGCGAGGAATGAGCAGGCAGCAAGGAGTGATAAGGAAAGTCATGCATGGCATCAGTATCCCTCTGCTCACTTTCAGTCTGTCAGCGGCCACCAGGCTGAGACAGTCTGCGCATCGAGATCCTCGAAGAGCCCCGGCCTAAGCCACACGGCATTCCAAGACTTGACGGCTGCACCATGGGTTGCTTCCAAGCTCAACATGTTGAACTGCAGCAGCTTTTCAGCTCAAGATTCAACGCGATCGAACCGTTTTTGTCTGAGCTAGTGTACTCCGACTGAGGCGATTGTCCTCATGCAAACAAGGCAGTATTATTGACATGCGCATACACGCAGATCGTCAAAGACACGACTAGGAAAGAAGTGCCCCAGTTCGACGTACTGCCACGCAAGTGCAGCAATGGATCGAACGGATTTTGGCAGGCTTCATGGACCTGAAGGAAGTGACGATGACGATCGAACGACTCCTTATCATTCGGATGATAGCGATGGTTCCGCGACCGATGCCACTACGGAAATGGAAAGAAACATGTTTACGAGAGAAGAATTCCAGCGAATCTGCACCGACCTGGTGCTGGGATGTGTCATGATGAACTTGTAAATGGGATGGCAAATGGAGCGGGCTTTTTTGAGCGATCGGCAACTACGAAGTTTGCTACAGCACTTCCAAACCAAGCACAACAGACGCGGATCCTCTGCAGGTGATATTGTGGAAGAAGGTGTACAGGAACGGATTCCAACAATGCAGAAAGTACGCATGGTTCGACAATGCGACGTACTCCAAGGAAAGTTGCGAATGGAAGTGAACCCGGTAGATGCAGAGAGATTGCGGGGCTTGGTTGAGCAGCCTCCCGGCTGGGATTGGCATTTGCCTGATCGAGGAACCATGGAAAGGCTTTGCGAGGGCATTCTGGCCAACTCGTTTGAGTTTGAACGGATTCCAGTGACGGATGCTAGACGGATGGCAGTTCAATACTGCGAGGTCATCCGTCCACTGTTCGCTGTGAGATTCCTGTCAATGGTGTTGCTGGGCATGCGGGACACGTACAGAGATCAAGCTTTGGTTTCTGCTTCGCAGGCATGGAAGAGTCCTCAACGTATAGACGGACTGTACGTATACGCAGTCTCCGAAAAACTTAAAGGGACTGATGTACGGATACACAGTCTCACAATAAACCAGCAATGGCGAGAAAAAACGTGTCACTTGCTTAACAAATTGCTTGACGCGCCTTACTAAATTGCTGGACCTAAACCCTGAACTCGTCGACCTGAGGTCAGGCCTTCTTCTTCGCTGGCAAGATCGACATTGTGTTTGGAGGCTCGAAAGCGAAAGTCTGTCTTTAGGCGTGCTCATGTTTGCATAAACCCTAAACCCTATCAACATCCGGCCGGTACCACTACAAGATTGCGCCCCCGGTGCGCCGGGCGCGCACACCTGTACACGTTGCAAGCAGACTAAAGAATTGTATTATTATTTTACGGAACGGATGTTTTTCAGTGAAGCATTCAATTCACATGTAGAGCAGCGCGCCCGGCGCGCCCGGCGCGCACCCGCTGCGCGCCCGGCGCGCGTACTCCTGGGTATATTTGGTGCTGTATACATGTGAGTTGAATGCTTCATTGAAATAAACATTCATCCGTTGCGCATAATAGTCATGAGTCGTAATCATACAATTTTCTAGTCTGCTTTGCCTACAGGTCGTGTGTATTGCAATGAAGCATTCAATTCACATGTACAGCTGCGCGCCCGGCGCGCGTACGCCTGTGCGCGCGGCCCGCGTACGCCTGTGCGCCAAGCGCGCGCCGGACGCGCGCCGGGCGCGCGCCAGGCGAGCACCGAGCGCGCAGCTGTACATGGCCGTCGCAAGCAGAATATGGAATAGTGTAAATAATATACGACACGCGTACGCTTCACGCGCACGCCGGGCGCGCGCCGGGCGCGCGCCAGGCGCGCAGCTGTACATGTGAATTGAATGCTTCATTGCAATAAACACGACCTGTAGGCAAAGCAGACTAGAAAATTGTATTATTATGACTATTGTGCGCAACGGATGAATGTTTATTTCAATGAATCATTCACCTCACATGTACAGCTGCGCGCCCGGCGCGTACTCCTGGGTATTTATGGTTTTGGGAAGTTTACCGCCCGCCATGCGTGCTCCTGCGCGCCCGTCGCGCGTACGCATGCACGACCCGCCGCGCACACATCCGTAAATTCATGTCGCAAGCAGAATAATATTAACGAATTAATAAGTGTAAATATACTACACAGTACACTCACGCGTACGCTTCGCACGTACGCCTGCGCGCCTGCGAGCCCGGCGCGCGCATGCGTAACGCAAGCAGAATATCCAACAGTTATTTACTACGATTATTATAAAGAAATTCAGTGAGACCAAAGTGCCTGTTTGACAGGTGCGCCCGGCGAGTGCACCTACACCCTGTGGCGCAGACACAGGTTCAAGGCATCAACTGCAGAGCTTACCTACATACAAAGCCATGAAAGCCATGAAGGCCAAGAAGGCCAAGAAGGCCGCCAAGCAGGATGGCAACACGAGGGCAATGAAAGCCATGAAAGCAATGAAGGCGGCCAAGGTCCAACACAACGACGGCAATGTGAGGGCAATGAAAGCGATGAAAGCGATGAAAGCAAAGAAGGGCAAGCAGCGATCGGGTCAAAGTGGTCAAAGTGGCTGGCAAGCATGGCGAAAAAAGAAGGGTTCTGCTGAGAAGCAAGCTGTACTACATGCGCAGGCACCTGAAGGCGAAGAGGACAACACGGACAACACGGACAACACGGACAACACGGACAGCGAGCAGGAGCTGCCCGGCAACGAGAAAGCCACGCAAACACCTCCGATTATCAGACGTTTGCGAAGAGCACGTGACATTGAGGATCGCTTGAATTGCTTTGTGTCGGCATGCAAATACTTTCGTGTCGACATAGGCATGCTGGTCAGTATGGTTATTGTGATCACGACAGGACCTGCGACTGGAAGGATATGATTCCTGGCCCAGCAACCGTACCCGGGCTATCACTGGGAAGACTTTATTCTGCTCGTGGGCCGTTTTCTCAGAAATTATCGCTGCTGCGGACCAACGGTCTGATTCGAGGTCGCGCGGTGATGGATTTAGGAAGCAACGAAGCATTAGACCTGGGCGGCTGCCTGATCTACAGACCGGCCGTGACAGGCCTCCGGTGAGTGGTGTTGCCGCAGTGACTGGTATGTATTACTGCCGTTACATAGATCTGAGAAGTTCACCTAAAGAAGTAGAGGAAACTGTCACGGATGGGCGACAACGGATTCAGGGACAGTCTTTATAAGGACATGGAGTGTCATAATAATAAATTTATACTTTAGTAGGCGTGGGATGGACAATGTCACAGATGTGTACCTGGAC